GAGCCGCTCCCCGCGCAGGCGCCGCGGCGCTCGGCTCCCCGGGCGCGGGGGCGGAGCCTCCCCTCACAGAAGGCGGGAGATCGCCTCACTGGGCGGCGGGGCGGCAACCGGGTCTGAGCTCTTCCCCTCGTCCTGGCGTTTTATTTTTTTAATATACACACACACACACACACAAACTTAGGGTTCTCCTGCCTACCAGGGGATAGCAGCTTTTCTTTGCAATATTCTCCCACCCATCTCCAATCTAAAGCTTTAACACGGCTGGTTTTTTTTTTTAAGTTCTCTCTTAAGTTGGCATCTCTGAAACAGTATTGTTGTCCCCCAAAAAAGAAGGGTTCTTTTACCCGCTGTGCAAAAAGCCGAATAACACACAGGGTCAAGATATTTGTTTCTCTCATGCCTGCGCAGAGATGGGTGCTGGGCGGTAACGCCACAAAGCTGACGCACCTCGGTTAACACACGGCGAAGCTCTGGAAGCGGTTTCTGAAAAACCCTTAATATTTCCTCGTTAACGCCGTTTGTAAAACCCAGAGAGAATCCCCAGTTACATCCTCGGACATCCCTCAGCCTCGGGGTCCGCTTGGCACAGCACTGCTGCTACGGCGATCTCCATCAAATCGCGTGTTACGAGCAATAACTAATTTCCTCTCCGTACGTTGGAGTTGTGCGTTTTACAGGCTTTACCCGTAACGCGGGGCTTGCGGTAGCTCACGCAGGTGGTTTTCCACACGCTTGTAACAGGCTGCCCTCAGTACCTCGCTATTGCAAGTATTTGCTCGTTTATGAGGCCGAGTATTGACCAAAAAACGTGTCCTGTATTTGAAAGGCCCCATCTGCTGATGAACATGCCGGGCGCCAACAGAGATCTTAAAATGCACAGGGCCCTCGAGGGTTTCTCCAAAGGTAAAATGGGAAAAATAATCTCAAAAATAAACCGTAGTAAAAAAGCTTAAATATCAAAGCCTGTGTGCTGAGGGCGACGCGTCCTTCATGCGATGGGGTTGTCTGGCGAGTCTGGGATTGACCTGAAAAACGCTTTATTTGAAAGATAAATTTAGCACGCGAAACAGTCACCAGAGTTTACTGCAAATCTGCTTTTTGAGTTGATCTTCCGCTGCATGCCGCCTGGAAATCTTACTGTGCGCTGCTGTAAGGCTCTGGGAATTAGCGCGGGATCGTATTTTATCCATGTCTCCTAACCACAGATTCATACTGTTTTAATTTAAAGCTTTATTATAGGTTGCCTGTTTTTCTGAAGGGCAAACCGAAAATAAATAATTTCTGATGTCATAGGTCAGGATGACGGTTTGGGTTGTAGAAATATTTTCCACTTAACTATGGGGCCGTTAATGCTTGGCTTTGTCCCTTAGTTGCAATTCTTCGTTATTATTGGTTGGCTTTAAAAAAAAAAAAAAAAAGTTTGATTACGCAGTTGCTGTTTTTAGTGTGCATAATTAGATAGTTTACCTTATTTTGATTTTTCCGCCCCTGAGGAGACGGCAAGCTCTGGTCCCTGGCGGCTCCCAGGACTGCGGCGGCGGGAGGGCAGCCCTGCAGCCCGGCTCAGGCCCTGGCTCCGCCGGGCGCCATCGCGTCCCGCCGGGTTTGAGCACCTCGGCAGATGGAGGCCCTGCCGTCTCTCTGCGCACCCCGCTCCCGCCTTTGGTTTTAAGGCCTCGGCAACCGGCTCCGCTCTGCCCTGCTTTCAGTTCGACCCGATGGCCAAGACTGCGCGTTCTTTGAAGCGCACCCTGCGTTCACACGCTTCAGATCTAAATTAGAAAAAAGAAAAACCAACTCCCAGATTAGAATCTTAGAGCTAGAATCTAGAATCAGAGCTCGCTTCGTGCTCAAAAGCCGCCCGCGGCCCTCGCCCAGCCCCGCCAGGCCTGCCCGAGCCGCCGGGGCTCCCTCGCCGAAGCGGGCCCAGGCTGAGGGGGAGGCCGCCATTTTGCCGGCGCCCGGC